GGAAAATTCCAGTTGGGAACCAACCTGGATCCAGCCGGATTTTTGCTCTACTTTCCAGCTGGAATCGGTCCGAATTTACAGTTGGAGTTCAGCTGGAACCAGCTAACAAAACCAGATTCAATCCAGCTGGAAAATTCCAGTCGGGATTTTAAACTGGGAGGTCAGTAGGTCAAATGCTACACGTTGGTCAAAACTTGGAGTCAGTTACAGGGATGATTTTGATATCCTGTAACTCGAGAATTATTCATGCTAGAGCCTTGTTTAAGGTGTTAGTTCACTGGAAATTACGAGCGGATTTCTAAATTGGCATAACATCACTCGAGCCATAAAACACAATATATATTTCATCAGCAAAAATTTGACCCTATGGATTAAGTTCAGGACTTTCACACTTATAATACGGGCATCGGTCTCTGCTAAACTTTTCATAATAATTTTTGGCAATCCAGAACTAGAATATACGAGGTAGTCCCTCCTTCATAGAACTGGAACACAATGGAATTTTCTCCCAAATGGTGGCTTCTTCCCTTTGGCTCTCCAAGTCTTCAAATAAAACGTCTTTCGAGGCTTGGTAGGAACACAAAGAGGCACTTTCGCCCATTATGACCTTCCGTGTGAAGGCAATATATGACACGTTCGCTATTCTTGAGATAAATATTTTTGTGAGAGCTCCTCCTGTCTCGTCACTTACAGCCACAAAGCAATACATTGATCCACCTTGCTTTCATCACTCCACCGGTTTTTTTTTTTCAGCAGCAAACCATTCTTCAACAGTAGCTTTCACCAACTGGCTTACGACCGATGCAAGGTCAGACCTTGACCCATATATCCAGTAACCTTGCCCATATCTCTTTCCAAGTAAGAAATTTAGAATACTTGTGAAGAGATCGGGCAATGTCTGAGCCATGAGGTAGGTCGGATAGATTGCATAGCTAAGGTCACGGGTTGCCTTGGTGGTGACATGGGGTAGAGGCTCCATTTGCTTTCGGCGAAATTTGTCACATGTAGGTCCTCTCCTAGCTGCAGAAGGAGCAGGGTTTTATTGTTTAAAATCGGGGGTCTCGTTTCGTCAAAGGCCTACCCTGTATTATAGAAAACGCATCGGTGCCGAATTCTGTGGATCCACCACTGCAGGGAAGGCATTGCCTTAACTGCAGACTCTGAACTACAGGGTGATTTTTTATTCATTGGACCATTATAAATATTTATAATCTTTGAACAAATGAGGTTTGATACATGAAATTTTGCATTGAGAATCCATAAACATGGGAAAATTGTACTCCATGAAAAAGAATGCTCAATGTGCCATCCTCTGTGCGCAATCATGTCGTAAACGTGTGGTGTAATTCTGCACTATGGCCTGCAAATTATCCCAGGAAATGGAGTAGACTTCATGTGCTATGGCTGCCTTCAGGTCTCCAAAAGTGCATGGATTTGACTGGAAGACTTTGTCCTTTAGGTATCCCCAGAGGAAATAGTCACATGGGTTAAGATTAGGGGACAACGGTGGCCATGCCAACACAGCGAACGTTGTTAGACTTCCTACACGATAACGTCGGCACCAGAATGCCGTCTAACAGATTCCCTGATATCCACAACGGTGGGTTGGTATGGTCACTATTGCCCCTCCCCCCACCCCCCCATCTCAATGCATGTGACTATTTCTTCTGGGGATACCTAAAGTACAAATTCTTCAAGTCAAATCCATGCACATAGGGAGAACAGAAGGCGGCCACAGAACGGGAAGTCTACTCCATTTCCCTGGATAATTTGCAGGCCATAGTGCAGAATTACGCCACATGTCTACGACATGTGATAGCACACAGAGGATAACACATTGAACATGTTTTTCATGGAGAATCATTTTCCCATGTTTATGGATTCTTGATGCAAAAATTTCATGTATCTAACTTCATTTTTTCAAGGATTATAAATATCTAAAATGGTCTGATGAATAAAAAACCACCCTGTAAATGCACGTGGTCCACTGGATGCGCCATGGGTTCACTGGATATATCAGGAGATGGATTTGAGCAACCCTGTTGGCAGCATGTCTGCATGCTAAAGAAGTAAAGTACCTCCCTGTCCCATGTGAACATGAACGGAATGTTGAGCAGCTGATCATGAGTCACCTGTGATCCTCGAACTTCCCATACGCTCTGCACTTCTTTGGGAACTTCAGACCTCCCTGTGTTGATTCTATTCTGCCTTTCTGAGGTCGCTTTCAAACGAGGTTGGGCTCACCGTAACCGTAGCACCGAAGCTAAGGCAAGGGACAAACTGAGCTATCACCTTCATTGCTGTGTGAAGGAAATGCTGGATCCTAAAGCTCGTTTGAAGGAGTTGGCATCTAGAGCGGAGGTCCATGTAGATGCCAGGACACCCGCCAGAAGGTCGGTCATGTCTACAAAAAATGTTGGGCTTGTAATAAGGATGTATCCTCTTCAGACCAGACAGCAAGTTTACTTGCCGAGTCCACTTTCTTCTACATGGGCTAGTTTGGGGAACCACCCAAATGGTGGCCATGTATAGTCTATTACTCACATGGCTGCAACTCGTTCAGTGGCAAAGAATGTGTGAAGTGAAACGACTTCATCCTCGCCCTTCATGAGGCTGGGGAGATGAACTCTAAGTTGTGGCAAGTGCGCTGACCTGGGGGTCTGAAGAGGTTATGATAATGCTAGACCTGGTGTTGAGTAGCTTAGGCCAGCCATAGGAATATCATACAAGACGATTGTTTGAAGACATCTATGTATGGTAGTACAGGCCTTCAAAATAGTTTGGAAAATTCATTGGTGTTGGTGTAATCCCACAACTACTCATAGAAGGGATGAACATGATGGCACATAATAATGATTCTCTTTTCCTAAGAATTTCCTGTGACAGCTTGAAGAAACCTTTTCAATGCCCTTATGCATTTACACAGAAAAGGTATTGTACGTCTTGCACACTCAGCCCTACATCAGTTTTGTTATGTGTCCATGCCCTATTTATTTTGGGTATGTCTGAAAGTGTAGGGGAATTAGTTTGTAACTTGCATACTGTGGATGACATACCTTAGTACTTTACTCTCAGGCAGGTTAAAAAAAAAATATTAACACTGGGAAGATCATTCATGCACCTATCGCTTGTCAAGTCTTATCACCTGTGCCAACATTCTATGATGTTCCTCATTTCCAAGATCAATTGGATGCACTTTTCTGCACTCACTACCTCACTCCCTCCATGTATGAACTGCTGCATGGATTGTTTCAGTGTCTTTTCACTTGTATTCTCTCTTATAAGTGACTAAATAGACTGCTACTGGAACCTCCAGTTAAATATCAAATGTGATGAGATTTTGGAAGTGCTGATTGGAATCTATGGTGCTATTCTTAATGGCTAAATTTTATTAACCTTAGCAAAATTTATGACTCACCTTGTCCCAGTTTTTGTAGCATTGTTTTGATCACATTACTGTTTTTTCCTGAGATATCCTGCTTCCCCACCCCATTAATCATTTATTACCTGGGACCATGTAAAAAATTAATATATTCAATTAACAAGAAAGCTTCCCAGACCAGAATGACCAGTGCAGCTGAGCTCTCAAATACTTTCATATTGACTAGAAGTGCAAGTTAAAAGTTTCCACTCTGTTGTACAATAAATGTAAAAATGTCCTCTCTCCAGCTCCCTGGTATTAAAGTTTAAATTTTGAAATTCTTTTGACTCAGATTTCATCTTGAATGTCAATATATTATGTCCAATAATACAGAAGTTCCAGATGTGATCCTCACTGTCAACAAATGGACAGAGCTTTTCCAAAGTATCTCTTCTGGCACCACTTTACCTATTATACTCCCTTGCGTCATTCCATACGAACTCAGCCAAGGATGTATGGGGACTGAAATTGCCTAAAATTCACATTTTCAAACTCAACTATGATGCTGAAAACTCAAACTCAAAGATTATATAGATCAAATGGTTCATCTATTAAAGAGCTCTGGTTCAGGCTATATACACCTCCATACGATCAATGGTTCCTTAGATGGAAGTTTTGCCATCCATATGGTTATACTGTTTTCCCCCAAAGTACATGGGGTAATATCTTGCTAACCATAGATCCAATGGAGCAGATTCTTTTTTTTTTATGAGGTTGCCAGTTTGACTGCAATCACTGATAATCATGAAATCCAAGATGGTTGAGTGTCATTTCATGTTAATGGTGATGGTTCAGTTTGTGTGGTGAACTCTTAATTATTCTCTTAACAAGTTCAATGTGTTATGAGTAAAGCCTGAGATTAACAGTCACCTCTAGGGATGGGTCAGTCAATTGACCATTATTGATGGCTCTTTTTAATTATTCAGTGAATAAACACATTTTTTATAGAGCTCCTAACTGTGGTCATTTATCCTCCAGCACTAAAACCCAAGAGCCATGGTTTCATGGTTGTTTAATGGTATCAAGAGGTGATAACACCCATAGGGGTACTGTGTCGAGGTTGAGCATTCCTTAGTTTTAGGGTAGGCCTACTCCTCTTAAAGCTAAATATTTTTGTAGTTTTGTGAGTTTTGTAAGTTTTTTTTTAGCATATCCTAATAACTTATTGCCATATCCATTTTAAAGTTATATTTGTGCAGCCTGCCAAACATCTGGATGAAGAAAAGTGATAATAACCCATTGTTTCAATTCCAACACCCATGTCTACCCTCTGTGATTTATTTTTAAAGGAAATGTCTTTACTCATTGGTGTGCAAAATGTACTATAACCAGAGACCCAATGCATTTGTAATATTACCTAGAAAGCAATTTGTTGATGTTACAGATGCCATATATTTTGTCCAAAACAAATGGCATACAGGGAAAAGATGTGTAATATTATATAAAAATTACTTAAGGGACTAAGGATGCAGTTATAGATCTAATATGGCACTTGTACGTATCTATAAAAACACATATTTTCTGTGTTTTTGTTTTTTTGCCATATCCATCATTCCATTTGTTTAGGTTGCAAACTGATGTTTTTAATCATAACTCTTAAGCCTCTCTCTGTTCAGTATGTCCTATGATATAGGATTTTTTAAATGTTATTTTGCTTTGGCCTTTTTGAGGCCATAGTGTTGATATTTTCATTTCTACCTAGTTGTGGTAAATTTGAATAAATCTGAATTTGAAATCTGAACTTAGACCTATAAGATCTGCTTTATGCAGGTATTACCAGTCTGGTCGAGAAATGCTACGGATGGCTCGCATTTATCAGGATGAGGGAGCATTGGAAAGTGCATACTTTCTCTTTCTCCGTTACATAACGTAAGGGAGGAGTTTTGAATAATTTGTCATCTTTCTAAAAGTGGTACCAAGTCCCATGCAGGTTTTGACTCTATTTCCTGTTAGCCTCTTCCTGGAGAAAATCTTGATGCATCCAGGTCACAAGGAGGTGTCAAAAGAAGTACGCCATGAAGCAACCAAATCCTTGAAGTCCATAATCCCTATTGCTGAAGAACTCAAGAAAATTCTAGAAGTTACTTATCAACAGGACTATGAAGAATGGTTGAAGCAAGTCTGTCGGCATTCATTTGCAAATTCTGCTTAATACTATGTATGTAATTTATGGTCTGTAAGAAAAATGGGCCTATGATACACTGAATGTGTTCTGTGTCTTTGAAGGAGGAGTTATTAAAAGAGGAGAGGAAGAGAAAAGAGGAAGAGGAGGCAGAGCAAAAGAAGAGAGCTGAGCAACAGCCGATAGGAGGTGATGGTATGAAAATCCCAGCTGATGGTTATTCTCCTCCTCCATCTTCCAAAGGTCTCTTAGATGATGGGATAAGCTATGATTTCCTCCAGGCTCCAACTACCAAAACTCCCACCATTGATAGGCAAGACACTCAATATTCCTCATGTAGAAACCTTCTTAACTATACAAATGATATGTGATTGAATGCAAGATATATTGAATGTTAGGTCATTGAAGCCTAGCAGCTGTGTTCGGAGAGTAGTTCTGCCATCAGCATTGATACCCCGCTTCATGTCCTTAGCGGAAAAAAATACAAAGGCCAATAAAGAAACTTGTGGTGTCTTGGCTGGTAAATTGGTCAGTTGAAATTTTTTAAATTTTCCATTGACCTAAGTCTAGTTTGTGATTCACGATGTAAATTAAAATGCAGGTCTTTAGAAAGAGATCCCGACCAGGATGATATTGCATTTGAGCTCTTTTGTGAATTTCAGGCCCAGAACTGCTTGCGAATGACACACCTTCTCCTGCCACAGCAAGAGGGAGGACCAGACTCGTGTATCACCAGAAATGAGGAGCTTCTCTTCGACTATCAGGATCGTTATGATCTCTTGACACTTGGCTGGATTCACACACATCCTTCCCAGACAGCTTTCCTTTCTTCTGTGGATCTTCACACTCACTCTTCCTATCAGCTTCTACTTCCAGATGCAATTGCAGTAGTTGTTGCTCCCAAGCATCAACAGTATGTCAGGACACCTATTATTAAAATTGGATACAAAAAAGCAATATTTTCTTGGATTTTTTATGATCTGGATATTTTTGGGTTGGCTACTTCATATCTCTGTTTAAGAAATGAAAATTGACAGCAAACAAGACAGACAAGTGTAAAAACACTGTGTCTCTTAGGGATGTTCTTATATTACCTGGTGAGATGTAAGAAAGGTGCTGCTTGTTGAAATTCTTGAAACAGCAGATGCCACAAGGTTTTATTTTAATTGCCTCCATCTATCCTTTAAATGTCCTAAAATTTTTGCCTGTTTTTCTTCAGTCTTTTTATCATATGAGCTATTTTAAAAAAGAACTCAAATTTTTTATATTTGCACAAGGAAAAGAATTAGTGAGAGAGTGGTTGGGACACACAATGCACACCATTATTGAATCTGAGCTCCTTTGTCTGTCTTTGAAAATGTTACTGTCAAATGATGGGGTGGGGCAAGAATTTCCTGGCAAGGAATGGAAAAAGTGTAGGTCTATCTTAGGCGACAGGCTGGTTCCAAAGTTGCAATAGACTGTTTCATCTGAGAAGAAAAAAGGGAGCAGTCAACCAAAATTAATGTAAACTTGAGAAGATTGTGCTTGGGTGGAAGAACTCATTGTTTTCTTGAAAGAAGAATTCAGGGATGCAAAAGTCACTGCTGCAACTTGCCAGGGGCTTAGGGGTGAGTCAGATGTCTGTTCAGTGGATTCTGAAATGCATAGGAAAAAAGCCTTCAAAAGAATTGTTATTCCTAGTCAGTAATGCTGATCTGGTCAGCGTCATAGTGTGATTGCAAAAGTAACAATTATTTGCTTTTGTAAAATTGCTCATGTGGTGGCTGGATTTCAATGAACAAAAATTTTAGGATATTAGATTAATCATAAAGTTAATTACAGAAAACCTTGGTTATTCGCTATGTCATAAAAGCTAATAAATTTCAAAGAGCAATGCATTATCTTTCTTATCTCAACCAATTCATTCATCCAGTATCCAATATCAGGCTGATAAACATGAAGATTGATCGCATTTTTCTCTTCCCGTTTTTATTTTCCATAATACCTACAATCACTTTTGTCACAAAAAAAAATCAACATTTCCATTTTGTCCTTGTGAAATGATGGAAATCCCCTGTTCTTGCTTGCTTACCGTTTCAGTCTAGCATTCAGCCTGAATTACCTTTTCTATTCACTTATCTTTGTCAGTGCCTTCAAGTGAAGGTTTGGAGGAGACAAGTAGTCTCATTGTCTTGTGCAATTAAGTCTTTTTTATTATCTTGGTTTCTAGTTGGATCTGAACTACTGGTAGTTCAGATCCAAGATAGGTATATTCATGAGTATCAGGTAAGGATAAAAAGCCAATACCCAATTGTACATCAGCCCTTGCGTGAGCTGCTAGCATGCACTTCATAATTTGATAAGTCTTTTCCAATCTTCAGATTCTTTTAAGCTTATTGGACTGAGATTTATTACAGATTTTTATTCCTTAATATCAACACTTGTAGTCCCATTCCCATCATAGTACTGGCTAATCAGGTAGGACATGAAATTGCTGGGGCTGAAAGTATTGAATCTTCCTCTTTTCTATATTGGCCTGTGTCTGCACTTTTTTTCTGTAGATGAAAACAATGCTAAAAATTCATAATTTATTCAATATTTTCTACATATGAAACATGACTCCAGAAAGAGTCTATGTGCTTTAATTGAGAAACCAGATGCCAAAATGGGGGTTCAGGTGCATGTGTGCATGTGCACATGTGAATACATGAACACGAGGGTAGAAATTTTCCTATAATTCACACGAGGATGAATTTTAAAAAATGTTTAGATGTGTTTGAAATGTTTAATAATCAATATTGATTAACTTGCAGGAGAGGTGTATACTCCTTGACTGAACATGGAATGAGATTCTTAACAGCTTGCCACCAACAGGGATTCCACACCCATCCCTCTGAACCTCCTCTTTACAAGGTCAACTTCACTTTCCATATAAATGGTACCTCTTCTTTCCTTATACTGTATATTGGTGGTAATAGCATCATGTCATTACTTTTGGCAGGAGGCAAGCCATGTGGAGTTCAGTGAAGAGGGAGCCCTGGAAGTGGCAGACTTCCGCCGGTGATAAAGTGGTGATCTGAGAGAATTTGAAATTAGTCATATTTAAATGAAACAATTTTAGTTGCTTTGATCATCATATTGGATTCCACTTAAGTTCTTGAATGCCCCTTGAATTCTTTATACAGTGTAAATGGCGGCAGTTGATGGAAATATTGAATGTATGGATGAGATGTATTACTCTGTTATAGCTGTGGTTGATTTTCTATAGTACTGCTATCTGGCTTTTGAATTCAAGCTTGACATAAGAAGGAATCTTTGTCTTGTTGACAAAGTGGAGGATTCATTTGAATCACTTCCCCTTTCCCATCAGTCTTGCTGTGCAGCACTCTTGCTCTGTTCAAAATGTATAGGAAATGCAATAGGCATATGTGATTATTATATTAATTTTTTTTTACCAGAAGGGAGAAAATAATGTTGCGACCAAGGGCTCTGACAGAAGCATTGAGCCAGGCAAACACAGGAGGAGTGACAGGAACCCTGCTGCTGAACAATGAAGGAGTCCTCCTTGCATATTCTGGATTGGGAGATAGGGAAACCAAAGATGCACGAGTAAAGGCAGCCATTGCAGCCAATGTGTGGTCTGCTTATGAGCGCTCTGGTCGAGCTGCATTCCACGAGGATCCCCTAGACACGGTTCTTGTGTCCAATGAGAATGGCTGTGTGATCCTGGTTCGTGTGGCCAATCTTCTCCTCTGTCTCCATGCTGACCATACCCTTGGATTTGGATTGCTTAAGGCAAAGGCTTTAGCTCTGGCAAAGTACTTGGAGGAACCCCTACGCCAAGTGGCTGCTTCCTGAGTCTCTCCCCATTTCTTCTGTGGCTCCCCTTTCTATATATGAATACTGCATTGTGTTTCTATGTCATATTATAATATCTAATTTTTATGTTCTGTTCCTTTTGTTACTAAAGCTTTGAATGAAAATGTACATTGATATAATATTTGGGGTGTTGGATTATGAAGAAATCCAACTTGAGAGACTTTGAGTTTCTCATCTTCACCCAGCATTTTTATAATCCTGTTCATCTCTTCCTTTTAGAATGAATATGCTTTGGAAACAAATTATGCAAAAGATGGATATGCTGCAGTACTTAGTGTAAGTATTGTAAAAAAAAAAAAATGAAGATGACAGTCTACTTTTGCATGATCTCTAACTTCCATGATTGAGTTCTCAGTTCTTGATCTGATTTCATGGAAGGAGCTACATTTATATCTAACAGTAACAATCAGAAAGCTCCTAGATGGTAAAAATGTCAAGTGGGATAGGAGCATCCCGGGGATTGAGAGGTACAGCAGGTGGGAGTGAGGGTCGGAGGATCCTTGATGACGCCACTCGGCATCGGCGACAAAAGAAGGCCCTTGATGCCTTGGAAATGGATAACTTTCAAGATGATCCTCATGCCAATCTTGGTTTGTTCCAGTGCCCCACTCCTTTTCATCATATTCATGTACTGAGAATGTGAAGAATTTAATCTTTTTCTCAATCTTTAAACAGTGATGCATAAGAAAGCACCCAAATTTGATGAGAATCTGGAGACAAAAACTCCCAAGAGGAGGAGGACTCGTACCTCTGAATACCTAAAGCAAAGGTCAGTTGCTGCATCATAATGACAACCAGGAACAAGGTTTGATTCCCTGATTCACTCATTCATAGGTTCAAGAAGAACTTTGCCATGTTGCTGGAGGAAGAGCGAACTGTTGGGGATGAGGCAGGGAACAGTTACAGCAAGGCTCGTGCTCCACCATCTTGCTTCTCACCCAGGAAATTCTGTGCTGTGTGTGGGGATGTGAGCCCTTACACATGCATTTCATGTGGTGCCCGATACTGCAGTGTCAAGTGCCAAGGGACCCATGCAGACACACGCTGCCTGAAATGGACTGCTTAATTGTCATTTCTCTCCTCACTCTTTCAAATGTTCAAGCACCAGCACTGGTTTTATAAAAAGTGGTCTAGACTGTCCCTTCACCTAGTATCACATTTCTTTGCCACTCATAATGAAATTCCATTGTTGTGGGGGCCTTGCTTTTTTCAGGTGACAAGAGATCCTTGTTGATTAGTAAAGGAATTGGAATGGCTTGACTCAAAATTTGATGGAAACTTAGAGTCATCAGATTCAAGGATGAGTCTAGCTTTTTCCTCCCTTTCTGCACGCCTGTATTTAATTTATGCTAAACTATAATATAGTTTGCTGCTTTGCTGACTGAAAGACTGTGGAGAATGAGTAAATCATGGAGGAGCAATAACATAAATGTGTCAGCACTCACAAGGGTTGTACTTAAGATCATGTCTTTGAATCTTCTCAAAAAGAAATGAAATAAATTCTGTGATAGTGTGATTTTGTGGGTTGGTTGAATTTTTTTCGATAGCAAGTGGAATGATTTGGCTATGAATGGGCTCTTGCAATGTTAATGGTAGCTGGTAGGCATCTGCAGGGTATTTTGATATTTTATAAGAGGAGTCTAGAGCAATACAGTTTATTTTATACAAAAACTTATGGCACCTCAAGAAAGAGCTTGACATTTTAAGTGGGAAATATTCTTTTATTTATATGACCACTGTTGGTGGTTCACACGGTGTCCGGCCAATTCCCCAACAGGACAGTTCCCCGAATGACAAATTCCCCGAACGGTCAGTTCCCCGACCACGGTTTTCCGATCTCACGGTCGCGGGAGGAGGGCTATCGACCGCTTCCATCTTCTTCACGTCTAGGGGTCGATTTATAGGTCACGCCCTTGTTTGTCTCTGAAGAGGTACATCTTTCACGATGTTTGCGATCACCTTGCGGGCTTATAATTTTCCAGGTTCTGGAGCATGATGATGTTGCCCTCGCCTGCTGACAACCTGCTCTCCTTCAGTTGTAGCTCTGAAATTGCAGTTTCCTTTGTATCTTCTATAGAGGCTACTCCCAATACGCTCTTCGTCCGTCCTTGCTCATCTTGTTCTGTGTGAGCAGATAGCCCTCAAGAAAAATAAGATTCTTGCCCTTTTCGCTCTTCACGAACTCCACGAATACACGAACTCTCACACTGCCTAAGAACTGACCACTTAATGATCTGATTCCTAAGCCACCCAACTTCTCCATATATAGCCCCGTTTTAGATTTTGATAGACATCTTGTCGATCGTCTCATCTCTGGCGGCCGAGAGGATTATCTTACAACAGTTTCTGTCGCCTTTTTCATCTTTTTCCTTTTCCCGTGAGAATCTTTATCAATGATCTGACTAGCATTGTATCGGCAGTCGTGTTCCCTAAAGAAACAAAGTTTCCGTAGGTAGGAGGCGAAGAATTTAATGATTTCCTCCCTTCCAGGATTAGAGAAGATTAGCGACTTTCTCCTTTCCTTCCGTTTGCCTAGACTCCCCTCCCTTTGGTTCCGGCTCGGTTGGGGGGCGGCCGCATCTCCCCCCACCCCCCTTCACTCCCCCATGCATGATGTGCAAGAATTATTTCAAATTTCAATATTTCAGAGGGTCATTCAATAACAAGCAACCCAAAATCTTGACGAAATAGAACCCTACATTCTCCGATTTTTATTAAATCTTACAGATAGGGTCTTCCCGTTTTTTAAACTCCAATTTCAACTTTCATCTTGATCGGATCGGCAGGTCAAACGCTGTGGAGGGATAAAACTTCAGGGACAAGTGACCTCTGATTTTGAATGCCCTGTAACTCAGGAGCTATTTAGGCCAGAGTTATGAATAAGGTGTCAATTCACTACAAGTTTTATAAAGATTTCTAAGAAAGCACAAATATTGCACATGAGCAAATATATATATAATAAAGACACGCGTACTCATCAGCGAAATATTTCACTTTTGACCTGGGATGTAATCCTTTACATAAAAATCAAATATGTCATGCAAAGGTCAATAAAGTCAATGTCTGTAATACTTCTACATAAAATTGCATAATACAAATATTCTACATTTTGTTTGTAAAAAAAAAATGTGAATCGTCATACCACTAACAGATGCGAGTTTTATTTATCAAATGCCGTCCCTTCAATGTTGACATTTTGTTGAACAGTAGTGTAGGCCTGAACATTCATTATTCTGTTTGCCAAGCAAAACCATCTGTTCCTTGCTGTTCCAGAATTTCGCATTTCGTTCCTTAAAGAGAATGGCTGAGTTTGTAACTTGAAAAAGTTTAGTTTTAGTGAGTTCTATATTTTCATGGAAAATGCTGACCAACATTCTCCTGGTAGTTTCTTTGGTATCCGGACAAAATGGCCCCGGACAAAAGGGCCCCGGACATTTTGACCCCTAATGAGATATAGGACAAAATGGTCCCTCCGGTAAAAATATACGATGACAGCTCATCAAGAGTTAACGAAAATTTGAATAATTGCGTCACCTACTTATGACTACGTTCTAAAATTAAGTTCTTTATTATCTTGAAGCTTGAATGCATTGGGGGCTAAGATTCAAGATGTTTATATTCATCATATCTTAATATGCTATAGCAGT